GGATTGAACCGAAGACCTCCTGAATACCACTTGCATGCTCAACCAACTGAGCTAGTCTGGCGGCTGCAGCATTAATTCTGTCATTAATTCTGTAGCAGACGTAATTCTGCTGCAACAGAACTATTGCTGCGGCAGAACTGCGCTCTGCTGGAGCAGTACTTCTGCTGCAACAGATTTTTATTGTCTTCTCTTCCTGTTCTTCTTTTTTCTCCCTCTTTCTCTCCCCTCCCCTTTTTTTTTCCATCCTTGCACGGGGGCCATGCTAATCTTCTCCGTATTGTTCCAATTTTAACGGATGTCCCATAAGGACAGCTGCTGCAACAGAACTACTTCCGCTGCAGCAGAAGTGGCAGCAGAAGTAGCTCTGTTGCAGCAGAGTTAGTTCTGGTACAGCAGTAGTAGTTCTGCTGCAGCAGCAGAACTACTGGTGAGCAGAGCTAGTTCTGCAGTACTTCTGCTGTAGTGGAACTACTACTGCTGTACCAGAACTGATCCTGCTGCAGCAGAATAAGTTCGGCTACAGCAGAGTAAATTATATCAGAAGGGTGTTGACACTGTTAAGTCGTTGTGCTTCGAACAAGCATGAGGGAAGCAATCCAACCAACTCTTTGCGCGTTGATCAAAGATCCGAATGTGGGTGTCATGATAGTGTTGTCTATGACATGATTGATGAGGGGGGAATTAGAATCTGTTGATGATGGTGCTGTGATTCTTTTTTCTTTTTTTTTTTAAACACACCACACCAGACATGCCCCATCTATTCTACAGGGTGTCAGTCCGGTTGCTTATCACCGGCAAGCTATACAAAGTTAAGACATGACAAGACAGGAAAGACTATCGAAGGCAGTACGAGGCCGTACCCCTTGCCTATAGTCTATAGATGCAATAGCACGGGATGGCTGGCTGGCTAGGGAACGAGGCCACCTACTTCTGGAATACGAGGGGGAATTCATGCTGGTCGGGAAACCCCCCTAACAGAACCCAGCCACACAGCATGGAAGCTTGGGCCCCTCCTACCTTCTTCACCCGAATACAATGTATTGTCGTTACTGCTGTATCTAGACTCAAAGTTGCCCCAAATACAGCTACAATGACGGTATGTTGTATTTGGGTGAAGACGGTAGTTGAGCTGTGTTTCAGTGTGCAACGGATGGGAACCTGTGTGAGGATAGAAAGTCTGTAGGAAGGAGAATTGAAAAAAAAAAAAAAAAAAAAAAAAGCATGAGAGTCTGTTGGTGACAGCGGTAAACTGTGACATTTACCAGGGTGATGTTGGTGGTAAACATCACGGTTTACCACAGTTTAGAACAGTCTACTTACTGTGGTTGCAATCAGACTCGACTTATTCACACTTTTCATGCACGTGAACAGCAGCACAACAAACTGGCGACATGCGCCCACACAGTACTCAGAGATATGGCTTCCAGGTAAGTTCACTTCCACTGGCTATGGCAACTGAGCGCCCAACAACCCACTGTTCACTCACTCCGGATCACCCTGGATATCCCACACGCTTCACTCAGAACACTCACGTCACACCCACACACACTACTATAGCTATGGCAGCGCTAGCTGCCAGTACCCTATTGCTATGCTACGCTTCTCTGCCCACTTCTACTTCGGGCCTACTGCAGACTCCTCGCACAAGACGCTGAGCCAGCGCTTCCGCATGGCTTCCGCAGGAATGAATGAATGGCTGTGCGCAGCCTCTTGATTTATACTTCTGTGACTCGTTGGTCTGCCCTGTTTCCCTGGCCCACGGTGTGCACAGTCCCAGACGGTACTTGCTTGACTGGACTGGACTGGCTGGACTGGGACTGCTGACTCTGCGTGGTGGACTTCCACCACTTGCCCACTTGCCTAGACCTACAGTGGGCTGACTTCCGAAAGGCCACTTCTAGAAACCTCTACCTGGCCTTTCGGTGCTGTAGCAACTACGACTCTGTCCCTTCAGGTAAGTAGCAGCTACGACTTGGACCCTTCGGACAGTCTACAGCTACGACCTCTGAACTGTCTAGACTCCTACCCGACAGGTCTACAGTTCGAATCCCTTATACCCTGTAACCTACGAGATCCTATCTACCACTGGCGGTCCTACAGGTCGCAGGTTCAAATCTACGGGTTGACACAGGTACTGTACACAGGTAAGGTGGGGAACTAGGGATCGAGCCCTGGGATCTGCATCAGCTACTGCGAACTGGTGAATACCGTTTCAGTGGTAAACTGTGACGTTTACCATGGATCACAGTTTACTGGTGGTTAGTGGTACAGGGTGATTGATGGTCGTGGTAAACATCACCGTTTACCACAGTTTAGAACAGTCTACTTATTGTGGTAAACTGTGACGTTTACCATGGTGGTTATGGGCGGTAAGTGTGTTATGTGCCTGATTGAAAGGAAATCCAACATTGCATCCACCCACATGTTCCCATACACGTGCGCAATGATAAGTGGACTTGGAGAGAGCAAGCCACACCAAACCAGGTGAGGAAAATACACAGCGGAAGCACACAAATACCCAAAATAGAATTGAATTGAAATTTGAAAATCAATTCCAATTACCGTCTCTCCCCAATCCAATCAGCAACATGAATTTTCCCAAGAATCCCAACCACGTTATCAACACCCACGGACCAATTACATACGAAGTTTCATCGAAGTATCCAGGAGTCTTCTTCTTCCTCCCACTAACCCCAAGCTCGAGCTATGGCGCCACTTCCACCTTCACCCGGCTGCAGATGATATGCCCACTCAGCAGGGGAGCACAGCTCCCCGGAAGAAGAAGAAGACGAACACCAACTCAATGAAGATGAAGGCCTGCCACATCGAAGAAGACTTCAAAGAGCTGCTTCGAGGCAGCTGCCATAACCCCAACAGCACACGAATAGGAGGAAGCGCTCTTCAGTACTTGGGCGCCTAGCCCAGTGCTGCCATCAACAAAGCTGCTCGGCCCCAGCTATGGCCACCAGCAGCGTGTGAAGATGATGCTGCCACGGTATTGAAAAATAGCGCTCCAGCGCTCCAACGCGACCTCACACCCATCTCGTGAAAAGAAGAATGAGCAAAAAGGAACCCCGAGTGCCTCGCCAGCCTCCTATTTCTAGACACGACCTCTGCTTTGACCTTAAGACAAACAAAACTATAAGACCTAAGGGCCCACACAAAAGCAGAAGAGAAAGACGAAAGGGAACGGCCTAGTGGTGGTCTAAGGCTGCCCAGAAGAGATAACCCAGCAAGTGACAAGTACAGGGGTCGAGCCCCACAGACCACAAGACATAAAAAAAAACTATTAAAAGTAAATTACATACATGGAAGGAAGTCCCAGTAAGGAACAGGTCTGTGGATCAAGCCCAGCAGCATCCAAAGTATATTACAAATCTAATCTACGGAATCATACAGCCCGCTGGGAATCTGCAGTTTATTGCAAGTGTCACAGTTTGCTGGTGGTTAGTGGTACACTCTGACATTTACCATCTTAATCACTCATAGTTTACAGCAGAGTCGTTCCTTTTTTTTTTTCTTTTTTTTTTTCATGCTAATCTTCTCTGTATCGTTCCAAACTTCCAATTTTAACGGATGTCCAGAAGGACAGTTTATATTGGAATTTTACTGTACTCAAGATAAGGTCAGTACAAAATTGAGCGGCAGAGGTGTCGTTGGGCGAGAGGACGAGAACTTGTATCTTCTTCATGGCCATTACAAAACTGAGAGCCAGAAGTTCTCCTAAACTTTCCACGTATGACCGTGATGATGAACTGAACTGCCCTTTGCGTAATAATTCAGACGATAATGATCGTGATGAGATGATGTCAGTGTTATTAATACTTATTATAGATTTGTTATTCGGACTTATTTTGATTCCTATCCCCAATAGTCCATTCAAATATTACATTGTAATGATATGGTAGCATTGCGCAGTATAATATGATATTATATAATGTCAGAAAAACTCATACTGTAACAATAATATACTGTGTTTAATGTGTGTTAGATAATACAATATCAGCGACACATATTATGTCGCATGAAATATTGAGCCCTAATATAGACAACTACGTATATGGATGTTTTGCTGGCTTGTGATGGGGTTTGAACCGACAGTCTGTAGAGTTTTCCATCTGGTGTGGGTGAGTGATAGTCTACTTTGATTTTGGTTAAGGTAGATTATCATTTACAGTGTAATCAGTGAGGGGATTCTGCAGACTGTTGAGGGTTCAGCCTCCTGATGAGTCGGTGGAACTCCGACGAAACAGTTTGTCACAGCCCCTCGTTTGTACCGGGCAGTTCTGTTTGTGACGATATATATATTATATACCCTCCACATCACAGAAGACGTGTAACCCCCCTTTTCACCCACTTTATGTCCTCCAGACCCTTCCCCTCCCACAAAACGAAGAGAGACTGCCTGTGTGCAACAGGTTCCGCCATACAGTGGCTTGGCATTTACTACCGTCGTCAACCGAATACAACACCCGGTCATGGTCATTATATCTTTATTTCAAATTATTTTTTGGGGCAACTTTCAGTCTAGGACTCTAGGTAGAGCGATAATGACCGGGCGTTCTATTCGGGTCAAGACGGCAATTCAATATTTGTGACGAAATGCACCCTTTAATGAGTCTCATTATCACTCTATTTGTTACCTTCAGGGCATCACACTCACACTAGTACGAACTCAAACGTACCTGACCGCATTTATCTGCGAACCTGGATGTATCTGCCCGCAATTACATCCAGAAATAAGTAAAGAAGTCCTAGTGTGGTGGGTATGCCCTATGACAGATTGAGAGAAATGCCGTCTCTTGACTCTCTTCGTATTTTGATGTTAACTAGTCGTTGTAATTTAGCTAAATCTGTGGCGTCGTAGTATGTGAAATGACAGATTGAAGACTGGCTGGACAGTGTTCCGGATTTCTGGAATTCGCCAGAGCTTCAGGAGTCTCTTGAAGGGGGCGAGTTTCTCTCAATCGATTATCACTTTTTTGCGGATGAGCTTTGGCGTCAATTTCGGGGCAACGATGCAACCGGGGACAATGGCGGGAATTGCAGGACGAATGCGGACTGCCGTCGGTTATGGAGGCTTCTGGAAAGTTATATTGAAGAAGAGGATTGGGGGGTGCTGTGTCGGCGACTCCTACATCTGCTCGACTCAGCGACGACGCTGAACTTTTTGAAGACGCTTAGGGAATGTTTGACCCTCTCAAAAGATGGTAAGAAAGGAAATGAACCCGGGGAGACAGGAAGGTCGTGGTCGATGGAGAGACTGGTTGTCCTAGGGGCACGCTGGCCGTCGATAGAAGATGCTATCGTCGGCAATGCTTGCGCTGTTTATGGTCGTCCGATCGTACGGATGCTGACAGAAGATGACGAGTTTGCGAGCGAGAGGGACAAGCTGAATGCAACGCTGAGGACGCATCCCATGGCGAAGACGGAGGTGGTTGGCGATCGGGAAGATAACCAATGGGGGACGATATCCACAGATGATGGTGATTATTCGAGAGATTTGCTTCTTTCTTTCATGAGGACGGTAATTGCCTCCTGGCTCTTGCGCTACCAGCTTCGCCAGGTCGGCAAAGAAGATGACGGTGGACGGAAGTTAGAGGAAGCCATGAATGTGATGGGGATTGGTTTCGAAAGAGTTGTCGAACATCGAACCGGGTCCGAAGTGATGTATTCAAGTGAGGTGGATGATGATCGAACCAAGAGCGAGAGGAGAAAGTGGAAACGCGGCAGGGAGAGGAAACTGAAAAAACAGAAGAAGCAGCGAAAGAAGGAAAGGGGTAAGAGAAAGCAAAGGAAAGATCACCGCAAAAAGAGAAAGCGGAATGCTCTAACGGGTGACAGCTCCTGTGGCAGCGAAAGCGATAGCGATAGCGGATGTGAGGAGAGAGATGAAAGGTGTTCTTCCTTGAGGCAGCCAGGATCGGAGAGAAGCAGGGGGTTAGAAGCACCATGCTGCCAATGGAAGCTTTCGACTGATGGCTTTACGATGACATGGATGAAGGTGAGGGCACAGGAAGCTGTGTCAGAGCAGAGTGACCAGAAACCAGCTGTACAACCTTGTGGAATCCTGTTGATCTGATTGGTCAGTGCACTTCGTTCAATTGCTCCGTGCAATCGCAATCACTCTCGTGATTGCACCATCTTTCACGGGTAGGTAACAATAAGGCCCTGTTTTTTGGGGGAAAAAAAAAAAAAAAAAAAACTTAAAAAAGAGAGAACAATTGTCAATGGGATGATTGGCTGTGTCGCACAGTTGTGCTGTTTGACTGATTTTGTTTCTTCAAAGTGCAAACCTGATTAGCAGGCATTCCGACACCACTGGCACTGGCCTAGAGAAGTTGGTACACTCATGAACTGTTGAAAGTTGAAACACACACCTGAGTTCGAAATTCGAATCCTTGTTTTTCTTCTTTCAAAAAAAGAGAAAAAAAATGGGCGACAGCTTTGAAATATCGTCATCGAACTGACCGGCCCTGCGTAACGCAGAATTCTAGTATTTTATTCATCTGCTCTGAATGGAGTTCGAACTCAGGTCTGCATTTCAACAGCTCAGGGGTTTACCAGCTGAGCTACCATCTTCACCCGAATAGAACACCCGGTCATTATCGCTGCATCTGGATGGAAAGCTGTGCCAAATACAGCTATAATGACCGGGCATTCTATTCGGGTGAAGACGGTAGCCCAGTTGGTGCCTGAGTTCCAATCCTAAGTGTATCGGAAGAGTAGGAATAACTATCAATTTACCTGGGGCTGGTCGGTTCGAAGTTGATATCTCGCAGCCGTCACTGTTTCTTAAACATGACAAAGCATGCATTCTCATTTCTCTAATTTTATCATGAAATTCCTTCCCAAAGAACACAGGATGACGCTTGCATTGCTTCAACGGCCATGAACTTGTCTTTCAAACTCAACGTTGCAATAGCACGTGGGCAGTATGTGCTCCTTCCTCGGCTCTCAGCTCTCTCTCTCTCTCTCTCTCTCTCTCTCTCTCTCTCTCTATATATATATATATATATATATATATATATATATGTGCATGCCTCCCCTGCTACTTTCTCGCCCCCATGCCCGTGTGTGCGTGTGTGTATTTGAGTGTGTGTGCAATTAGCAAGGAGTGCTTACCATGGCAGTTGTTGCTTTGAATTGCCCCATCGTTCCTCCTGAAGTACAAGTCCACAGCTGGTGTGATATTCTGAACAGGTTTTGATATTTGCTACTGACTGTAGACATTATCCCGCCTTCTTACGTGCAAAGTTGAGTGAAATTTCTGACGCCTGGAGTATTTGTGAAGTGTGCTGATGAATCCCGGGGTGTCAAACACGCTGCTGTTGTGCTTCTTTGTCATGCAGGTGGACCTCCCTGATCACCTTGCCGATTTTGCATTGACAAGCCTTCTTCAGCAATCAGCCAGCTGTGCAAAGTCTTTTGTGAAGCACCTGTGAGGCAGATTTGTGCTGTTGAAGTCTTGATGGCACATTTTGTGTCATCCTATGCATTTGGTTTGTTGGCCCATATGTGGGGGCGCGCGTGAGAGAGAGAGAGAGAGAGAGAGAGAGAGAGAGAGAGAGAGAGAGAGAGAGAGAGAGAGAGAGAGAGAGAGAGAGATCATGATAGTCACTGGTAAGAAGATTGTAAATATTAAGCCGATGACGAGTATAATTATTCTAGTGCGTTTGCCTGTTGTGTGTTCAAGGGATTTTTTGAGTCTGCAGGGTTTCAGAGTGTAATACAGATCACTTTACTGTCAATGCGGATCCGGTGGCAGGAGCTACTTCTCGTTAAAGGTGAGATTCAAAATGGTAATGTGTCCGCTGCCACCATGTCGGCCATCATTGAGTTTGCGTTAGACACTGTTGCAATGCATGTGCAATCTAGGTGACCTTAGACAATCCACAGGAGACTGTCCTGGCAGTCGCTGGGTACAGAGTAACAGGTAAAGGGTACGGCAAAGCACTGGCAAAAGCGCAACAGGGAAGTCAATTTCGTCCTGGCATTCGCTGCCTACGTAGTCATATCATCGTAGAATTGCACCTAGGAGCCCCCTGCACCTCCAGCCCCGCCCCCGCCCCCGCCCCC